TCGCTCTCTCTCCCTCCCTCTCCCTCTGCAAAGCTGGACCCAAAAGGCGGGGGCCTCGCGGAGTGCTCCGCAGACTGCTCAAGGGAGGCGAGCCACGCCGCCGCGGAGTTGGACTGCCTGGGGACAGGTCGGGAGCCGAGAGAGGCGTCCTCCGTCATGTCCTGTGGAGTCCTCTGTGGAGTCCTCTGTGTGTCAACTGTTGTCAGAATGCTTCCCTCGTGTGTTCAAGTCAACAAATCCAAGCCTCACAAGATCAAGATCCTCCGTGCCAGTCTCACTGTCAGTGTTGCGCACTGGCGGGAGCGCGCGAGATCCTCGCATGGGGACAGACCTTGAGCAGTGGAACGCATCATTTTCATCAAGGAGGCTTTGTGGTGCTGCCTGCTAGCAACAGGATTTACAGGCCAAAGCCCTTAGCACATCATGCTTCAATCATGCTTGCAGCCACTCTTTGCAGCCCGCCTGTGATCCTGCAGTTCTGGAGGAAACTCATCTGCGGAGAGCTCGCCTCATAAAAGAAGCAGGTTGGCTCTTTCCATACGTTGCGTATAGGGACTGAGACCAGTCGTCCTTTCGAGAAGTAACGAGAGCTTACACTCTCGCGAACTGCTGTACTGTTGCCAACTGCTGTCTTTCCTGGAACTTTCTGTTTTTCATAGCCTGCATGTGTTTTTCGGCGTTCATGTGCTCCTGTTAGCCTTTGCACGATCTTGGTCTTCTGCTTCTTTCAAGTGTAGATTCAAACGCGGATGCTGTTCCTGCCAAGCGGCTGGGTCGGGTATTCATAGTGTGGATGAGCTGCGCAAATCGACCTGTGGTCCAGAAAAGATCCACAGGAGACTGGCGCGAATACAATGTAAGGCCTGCACCTCGTTCAAAACCCTGCTGGAGGGATTGGAGAGCATTTGCAGGTGGGATGCAATACAGCACAAAGACGCGCACGACATGCGAGCATCGTAATTGTGTGTGAGTGGCTATGAAGACACACATTGGAAGCTGGCAGGACTGTGACTTCTGCGCGTGACGCGAAGACGGGAATTTCAAGGATGCTCATTGCATTGCGGCCGTAAAAGACAGACAGACATGTCTGTCCGAAATAGCGATATGCAGCGCAATGCAGCCAGATTTCTCTTGGGGACCGCTGGGACTGCCTGGCCCGGCGGAACGTCCTTGGACCAAAACCCGGCCCTGAAATGCTACGCGCGTCTTGCCAGAAAAAACAGAAGTGCGGATGATACTCAAGAAGATTCTTCGTGTGCAGCTCTGCGCATCTCTGATCTTAGGCCATCCAGCCCTCGCCACTGCATTTGCAGCAGAGCTTCCTCGCCCGGAACACAAGGTGAGCTTCCTGCCAGCAAGCCAGTATTCATATCTCGCACCCAACCGGGATGGGAGATCAAGATGGTAGAGAGGGACAGGAGCAAGAAGACATCGCAGGCTAGCATGCCATGGACTATGTGACTATCAGTTGCCGTATGCAATGTCCAAGTGCGTGTGAACTAGCCAACTTGATCGTCAAGTGCGCGTGCATAGCCTTCACGCCCGTGAAGTCTGCCACTGTTTAGCTGGTCAAGGATGACATCCAGCTTCCCCTCTATCCTGTCGTCCAGCCTCGCGCTGTGCTCACACCAGTTCCAGCATGCTAGAGCTTTCACCATGAACATCTCATGATAGCAAATGACAAACGGCAAAGCGATGTTTAACTTTGTGTGGAAATAGGCAGCTGCAGTAAGCCAAAAGCCGTAAAACACGAACATGTAAAAAACCGAAGCCGGTAGGTATTGCTTTTCGCTCACGGCCAAGTCACCACCGCACACCTTGTAGGACTCCCTGCGTCGGCTCCATACCTTCCGTTTCCGGACCCTCTCGAAGCAAGTCCCTCTCAAGAGCACATCAGCCTTGGCCTGGTAGGGTCTGGTAGGGCCAAAGCTGCTCAGGACTGCTGCTCAGTCCGATGGTCACGCAACACTGGAACTCAGGTGAGCTGCCGTGCATGTCCTTGCGCAGTGAGGCCACTTCCGCAACAAGGTTCTCGACCTGCTCATGTGGACACTGTAGCAGGATGGCGGCTACAGTATGCTACAATTCCGTTGGCGAACGACAGCGCGTTTGCGGTATGTTGGAACAGCTAGCCATAGCCCTTCACAGGCTGTTGAGTTGAATAGCAACTGGCGAAGTTGTCCAAAGGGCACCTTGTCATCCATGATGCTGAGAATGTCGTGCACTCCCTGCAAGATTCTGCTCCCAAGCATCTGGGAAAAGCCCTGCCTTAGAGGTGAGAGGTGCTCTGTTTCTCTGTGCAAGGCGGAGCTGCTCTTCGCACTTCGTTAACAAAAGCCAACCAGTTCGTAAACCAGTCACTGCCGCGCAGGTGGAGTTGCAACACGGACTATCTAGCCGACGGCTGCCAACCAAGTTGTCCTTCCCGAAAGCACGCGTGACCTAGACGGGCCAAGGTGCGACATCTCTTCCGGTGGACCTGATGCTGGAGCCATATGTTATAAAACACGCCAACGAATTCCTCACAGAATCTCACAGATATCGCACGCAAGAGAAGTTTGAACATATCTGAAATGGCCCAATGGCTGTCGGTCTGAGCCGCCAAAAAAAGAATCATTATTGCAGCCCAGACACTACTTGCGGGCACCGCCACAGGTGCAGCGGTCTCTCGCTTCTCTTTGGTTTCTTCGTTTCGCTGCTTTTGGCGTCTCGCCTCGCACGGTTAATTAACACAAGGCGGTTGCAGGCAAGACGTCAAGACCTGCATCATATATATATATACACATAACATATGTATGTACAGGTTTTGTATATGCCTGGAATGTGGACCTGTGTTTTACGTTAAACAGTTTTCAAGGCTTCGTTTCGATGAAGTTTCATACTGGCTGATGCTCACAAACACAAGCAAGCAAGCTTCCAGGGCCTCGAGGACCTTCCGCGCGTTCTCCGCTTTGTCGCCCGTTTTTTCGGAGGCTGCGGAGCATGCGATGTGAATGACAGACAAGTTGGGGCATACACTGGCCCTCTTCAACAACCGAGCATGCAGCATACTGTACTTTAGCCCGCTTGGAGCCATAACAAAGGACTTAAGCGCTCGGGAAGCTTCCATTGGTGCAGGGGGGATGGGATTTGGGGGCCTGCCTGATTAATCCGTTTTGCAGGTTGTTCGGAAACCCAAACAAGCCAAGAATCGGGTGGCAGACTTTCGCACGTCCAAACCTGGAAGATGATTGTCATGGAGGGCTTCTTCTTGAGTTCTTGAGTCTTTTCCATCAACCAACTTCTGTTCAAACCAGCTGACATTTCAAGGAGTTTGTAGATGGAAAGCAAAGTTTGCTGCCTAACAGCCTTAAAGTCCTCAGCCTTCCTATATAACAATGCATGACCACACGTACTGGAGCCGTGCCTGGCGAGAGCTTGGGCGAGGATGCATCCCTCGCGAGTCCTGCGGCGTTTACAGCATGGTCTGTGCTCCTGCTGAAAGCTCAAAGGGGAAAATCCTGAGCATATTCGAGCCTGTCGAGTACTCGCCCGAATTATTCTGCATCCCGGGGTGTGGGGCACCTCAGAGTCCAGCACGCAAGACCCGCAATCACCCAAAAACATCCGCAAGCCACATTGTATTTGAAGAGCACTACACACACAAGTCTTTTCAATGCTAGCCTTCGAAGAGATCTCTGAAGCATCTTTGGGGTGGCAGAAGTTTGCAATTCCAACTCCGACGGGTTCGGCGTAGGGCTCAACTGTCGCTTCCGGCAGTTTACAAGGCAAAAGGCCTTGGGGGAGCGGGCTGCTCTTGGGCCAAGGGTGCAAGAGTACCCCCGGGCCTTACTCCGAAATAACTCCGATACGTGTGTATGTGTCTGTGGTCTGTGTCTGTGTCTGTGTCTGCGTATGCGTATGCGTGTGTGCGTGTGCATGTGTATGTGTATGTGTATGTGTACGTGTATGTGTATGTGTGTGTGCGCGTGTGCGCGTGCGCGCGTGCGCGTGTGCGCGCGTGTGCGCGTGTGCGCGTGTGCGTGTGTGCGTGTGCGTGTGTGCGTGTGTGCGTGTGTGCGTGTGTGCGTGTGTGGGTGTGTGTGTGTGTGTGCATGGAGACGACAACAAACCATGAATTGGTGTATTGCTCGGAACTTTGATTATCTCGGAAACTTCACTATATTTCATCCCCTGGTCTGCGTGTGATGACCCTAGCATTGAGAACGCTGTGCCTAAGAGTGCCCCTGTCGCTGTCCTTCTGAGAAGAATTGAAAAGCTAATCTGTCAGCTCCAACATTTGTGAGCGGGAGCTACTTCGTCTGGCACATGTCCAGAGTACATGTATCGTTGGACCGGGAAGAAAGTTGCGAACAAGCCCAGGCCACTCCAACAAGGGCCGTCGGGTCATCTGATGTTCCAGCGTCATGTAGGAGATGAGGCTCATCACAGATTGATCGAGCATGTGTGCAGTACATTTATACGTACACGATAAAGAAAAGCCTTGTGAGCTTCAAAAGTCAACGACCCCTACCCATGCTCAAGACTCAGTGCAGCACAGCTCTCGTGCTGGATGGCCGATGGCAGAGGTGACGAGCCGTATTCAATGAGGTATGAGGAGATCTTTACACGAGGTGTGTTGGGATTACTCTATCTCCCGGGTCTCCAACGCAGTGGAGTTTGCATGTGATGGCTTCTAGTTCACTGACGGCTAGACTTTGGCTAGATGAAGCAAGCAAAGCCCCCCGAGCTTTGTGACTGAAGGCTGCTAGTCGGCTGGGTTGTGGGGACTGCGGGGCGAGGGGGGCTCCTGCGCTTGAGCCCCTCAGCCAACATGCAGCGAGAAGGACGTCTCAAGTGAACCCTCTGGCTCTAAGATGTTCCACAACATGCCAATGGCCGGAACGAATGCTCGTCGGAATCTCAGAACTTTGGAACGTTCCCTGCCATGAACTCAAGCTTAAACATCTTGTTGACCATCACAACACATGCTCTTCAACGTCTTGCGCTGATTCAAAGATTCAAAGATCACTCACCACGCCCCTTGAGAGCCTCATGTCACAACGAGCTTCCGACTCACCAGCGACTGTAAGACCAATCCGATCACCTAACGCCACCTCGGTGCAAACTTTAAATCTCTTCCCGCTGGCATCACTGCTTGGGACTGTTGTCACGCACACCTATGACAATGATACGACATCGTGCCAGCCATCTCAGGGCATTTTGCGGCAAGGGCTGCCTTCAAGGATCCGAGCATACATGGGCTTGCTCTAAGGCAAACTTGTCGCTGCATTTTTTGGTAGTGCTGAGGCCCGTGCGGCAAATTTTTGGATACGATGATTGCCTTCATGTGAGAGATGCCCATGCGACAAAGAAAATTGACTCATGGTGCAAGTCCATGGCAGCCACGGCGTTTTCCACCCCTTCCCGCCACATCTTTACAATCAACACGCAAAATTAATCCAATTAACTTGGAGCCGCCGGCAGACTCCTGTGTCGGGTGGGGCTCTGCGCCCCTGTCCGCTGGGCACGGAGGAATGTGCTCATGCCAACGCATTTTGGCGTCCCTTTAGCAAACATCACCCGAACATGAAGAAGCGGCATGATGGTGGGGAACCCTGACTGTGTTCCAGAGCGCATCAGCGCACGCTGCGCTCGCTCAGCAACTGTGGTAGGAGCCCACTCCCTCTTGCAAGTACATTCGCTGAAGTGAAACATCCAGCCAGAGGCCGTGCAAACTTTAAAATCTGCGGCCGGCAATTCGGCCTCCATGAGTTTGCATATGAGCCGATGGGTCTGAATAACCTGGGACCGAGTGGTAGTTGGGATCCTGGAACTGCTGCATGTTGGGCATGTGCCAGGTCTGTGGCATTTGCGGCATATGGATATTCTGCAAGAAGCCGGCCTGTTCTACTGGCTGACTGCTGGCCGGATCCCATGCCGTTTTTACATTCTTCTCTCTGGCACGCCGCTTCTTGCGATCTTCCAGTCCCATCCAAATAGCCGTAACGACCACGCAAAAGACGAGCACCACAAGAATAAAGATCAAGTAGCTAACCCACCAGGGCCAACCCCCTTGCGTCGGGGTCTCCCTCGGGGGCTGCATACCCGGAACCACTAATTTGACTTCGTTTCCTACCGGCATGGCTGTTGGCAGGGGCGACATGTCCCCCACGCAGTTGTGCTGGAGCATCTCGCCTGCCACGATGTCGGCCGCAGCTTCACTTTCCAGTCGCACTGATCGGAAAGGGCCCGAAGTTGTTAAAGGGTAACCCACGGCACCTTCTGACGGAATCTCGAGGTAGCAACCGTAGGTTTTGGAATACTGCCAGTATTGGCACAAAAGAAACGATCGGCACTCGAACTTGCAATGCGTGGCGCCCTCCTCCCAGGTCTTGAAGACTGTGCCTCCAAAGCTATTGTGCAGCCCGATCACCTGAACGCCGGTCGTCTGCATGAGGACTCGGTATGTGCCGTGCTGGAGCCTCTGCGCACGCACCGGTGTGGGGCCTTTTCCACTGTAGCAGTTCGTCCCCAGCATGCCGTTCCAGCATGTCGGTGAACCGTTCGGATTTGACGTGGTCTCAATCGACCAGACTGAGCAAAGCGGGGACCTTAGGGCTCGAAGCTTATGCGATGTCCAGGTCAAGCCTCATTGAGCAACGTTCATGGAGAACTCCTAGCGCTGAGAAGCGAAGCGCTGCCGCAACAACATTATCAACACTCAACGAAATCTAAACTACTCAAACCCACAGAACTGCCGGCATGCCGCATCATACAGCGCAGCTGGCACGTCTCCTCGCCCTTGCCGGGTGGAATGTGAAAATATGTCAGGCGTGAGTGACTGTCGTGCTGCAAATGCCGCATCGTGTCATGCCAGACTCTGCCACATCGGATGACAACAAATCATGAACGCTTCTTGTTGCTATCACTCCTGCCAAGGGTGAGAGGTCAAAAAAGGATCTAAAGAAAACTAGCTGGAGCCAAGACAGGCCCAAACAACTTTTATAAGTATCATTCCAACCCTTTCCATGAAGTACCAAGAAAACGTGTCCCCTCCCGGTCACGGGACATGTGGACCAGCACCACCCGATCCAATTAGGTGCAATAGACCTTTGCTGTGTCGCGAGAGGCGCACTCGAGGCCTTTTCATGCGCAAAAAATGCTCGTATCAGGCGTTTGGAAGGCTACGTACGGTATTTGCCTCAACTCCTCTCGACGGCATGATGTTCTTAAAGGTGAGCTTGCCCCGCCGAGAGGGCTAAAGCAAACTTGCCCGACTTAAGGCCGGGGGGGGGGGGACGAGGGGAAGCCCCTCATTTGCAAAACAAAGAAGATACATATAAGTAAAAAATTGTTTATCCTGAAAAGCTGTTTTGCAACCGCTAGGAATGCCTGTCGCCTGCTGCTCTGGACTGAGCAGCAATCTGCAGCACAGCAACCCTCCCAACTAGCAGCTCTTCAGCTGGGCATGTCTTTAGAACTGCTCCAACCTTCTGCCATGAACACTGAATCGCTCTGAATGCACGTGCCTTCAAGTCGGTGACTTTGACCATGCCCTCACAAAGTCCGGGCCATCCATCCTCCAAGGCCCAATGTGTGGGATGTGTGGGATGTGTGGGATGTGGATGGCGCTGTTGCATGCATCTTGGGCATGAAGGCGCCTTTTGCAAGGGCTTGGGACCTCTACAGGGACTTTTCGAAGTTTTCAGTTCTGGGATGGCCGGAAAAATGTTCAGAGCTGTTGGCAGGATGAAGAGTAGTTGTGCCCATCTTCTTCGTCGTTGATAGTTTCGTGGCGCTTGGTTTGGGGGCCGTGGCATCGCACCCTTCTGATTCGGGATCACGACAAGAAGTCAAAGCACGACCGAAAAACGGAAACGATGACCAAGAAACTCCGAACCAGGAGGCGTGAAAGCGTCGGAACTTCGACTCGGCTCGGCAAGGATCCATGGTCTGCTGCACCCCACTACGCGAGCCCAATCCGTCTCTTGTACTACTACTACTACTACTACTACGACGACGACGACGACGACGACCACTACCACTACCACTACCACTACCACTACCACTACCACTACCACGACCACCACCACCACCACCACCCGCAATTAACTGCACTCGTGTACCATTTAAGGAATGGCAATTGGGACTTATTTCAGGGCGACGACCTGGAAGGGGCCCGCGAAGGTCAAGTTTGGGCGAAACCTGGTGCGTTTTCTGTTTCTCATAACGTCTTGATGTCGGCAGTGGCAGCCCCCGATGCTCCTGCGTGTCTTCGAGGACGGTGGCTGTTTGGTTACCTCTGCAGTGCTCGGCAACGTGGCAAAGACGAACAATTGCTAGACCTGATCCTGCCTAAATCAGGCAAAACCCGACAAGAAATTTATGCAAGGACGTCCCTGCGCAGATTACGTTCCACTCAGAGTGCTGACGTGTGACTTGTGCTGTCGAGGCGCGACACCGAGTCACCTGACCATCTGATCTCCGTGGCCAGCACTGCAACGTGGTCGGCTGCACACGACCCGGCCACGCTTGATTACTTTTTTCCGGGGTCTCACCTGGCACTTCACCCTGCACAACTATGCACACATGATTCCCCAACAATTCTGCCATCGCATCTGCGACCCCAGTCCCACTTGCAATGATTTGGATGAGGAACAGTGCCATTGCAACTGGCATCAACGCGCGCTGATATGCGCTCATACTCTGAGGCAAGCACCTGGAAAGGTAGCATCCGGCAGCGATGTGCAAGCCGGATCAGGCGAAAGGCACCTGAGCTTTGACTGCAAGCGGGGCTTCTGGAAACACGGCTTGTTTTGCCATCTTCGCGTGATACATACACGAACAAATTATATGTGCTTGTAATGTGGTTCAATCGATTCCTCCACCGAGCTTAGACACTCGCGCGGTCCAGCGATCGCACCCTTCGTCGCATAGAGAACCTCAGGCTCCGGTTGCGAAAGCTGTGTTTTGAGCATTTTACTTGGTGTAGAATACGTAGGGACATCGCCTTGCTCGCCTTGCCTGCCCTTCGCAAATACGCCCAAGCAGCTCCACCTGATCCTCCAAGGTAGCCTGGGTTTGCCATAACTGCAAACGCAGACATCATCACGGTTTCAGTTTCGATCGTGACGACGACTTTTCGAGCCAGCCAGTATGTGTGGAAAGGTCCGGGGGGGGTGGGGGGCACCCATTCCGGTCGTCGCTGGCACGCTTATGTCAAGTACATGCCAAACCTCAGCCGAAGTCACAGGCGCCAGTGACAGGATAGTAGCCAAAAGCAGCGCAGCCAACGGTGTTCCGGCACTGAAGCTGACCTTGGGCAAACATGACCAACCTTGTGCCGGTACCTTGCAGAGAACTCTTGATCAACTGCCAAACGTTGCAATAGTAGAGGTATGTTCTGCTCAAACCACTGGATGGAAAAACTATCAAAGGGTTTCTTTCTGCATGCACCAGCAGCATTCAGGAGCAGAGATCTTGGTGAAGGGGTTGCCACTCACATTGGTAAGAGCATTCCTCGGCAACCCAAAAGCAGAAAGCTCGGGGCTGCTGCATGCTGCAGGACCAAAATACGAAATCAGCATCAGCCTCGTAATCCTCCTCCCAACCCACCCCCTCGCCCTCTCCCTTGTTGTGCAGAGTGGCACCCCGTCTGACCAGGCATATGCGGCTTCCGGAATGAACGGTGCCGGGAGGGTAGCCCCACCCCACCCCCCAAAGAAACCTAAGAGCGGAGGAACAGATCAATGGAGCAACGGAGCGGGCTCGACTTAGCGTGCGCCCGTGGCGAAGGCAATGATGTTCCCATGCCCATTCCAACGTGGCAGAAAATTGCGGGGTTGGGGCTTCGAGAGTTATTCCACTTGCCACTTACGCATTCGGGCTGTAATCAAAGCAATGCTTAGGTAGCGTTGTCTGGAAGAGGCTGCTTCTGCACGGAAATTGCAACCTGTTGCCTACCTAAACACTAGGTCTGAGGATGCTGGAGCGACGAGCATGACTCCGTACAGAATGCACCGCTGATTGCTGCACGCCGGCCCGGCCGAGGCAGGTCGCGCAACGCTAACAACAAGCAAAGAACAGCGTAAGAGCAGACATGGGTCGTAAAAGCAAAGCCATAGTGGTAGCATCCCAGTGCTTGCGCTGTGGCGGTGGAAAACCTTCGCTGCTGGGAGCTGAATCTCGTGAGCCGGGACATGTCGGAACGTTTCATCTGGGGCCAATCCAGGGGCAAAACGAGCATCAGAATCTGCAAGACCGCCTCTTGCACCAAACTGGACTAGCATGAAACGAAACTGGCTTCAACTGACTCGACATGACTCAACCATCGGAATGCTAGTAGACACCCACTGAACGTGATCCTACTCAAGCACCCTAATAGGGCGGTGCAACGGCTTCAGACTCAAGGCGGGTACAAGTCTTACAGGGGGGGGGTGCGTCAGCAGAAGGCCTGACTGAGCCGCTGTGCAGAGCTCATGGGACACATCGCTACATGACATATCACCCTGCGCTTCAGGTACGGAGCCGCAGCCACACCAGCAGGGCCATCCGTATAAGCGCCTCCATAAGTGATCCTGGGTGGGGACTTGAAGGCGCTGAGCGCTCAAATGTGCTGAGGCTTCAGGAGCCGCAGTGTTAAAAACTGAACCCGACTGACATACATGCATGCGATGTCAAATGAGTGCCACGTGTGCTATGCGTTTCTCGTTAAATATCAGAATCGAGCTGTTGGCTTCAGAAAGCAAGAAGCGAAAATTTGGTTCCTCCCGCATTGAGTTTCGGGGCCCCATGACAACGACAAGGGATGTCCTACGAGGGTTATGTCGCCCAAATTTTCTAGGCCCTCCAGTGCCTTATGCAGTCTGGAGTTTGCTGCCGAAGCGGCTATCTCCCGCTACAAACCGATACTAACTCCTACATGGAAACACAAATCTCCCCAAGGCGCTCCGCATGATAGCAGGCCGCCCCACAGCACGGATGCTAAACTCTGCGCGCAAACGCCGTAGCTCTGAGCAACAAGGTTCCGCTAAGACTTGCACGCAAACATGCTGCTGCACTAGCGTGTGGCCCCTAAACCACTGCTGCAGAATGCTTGATTTCCACTTCCCGCCTGTGTCAGCCACAAACAGGAACCCGTCACCTGGAGCCAAAAGCTGGTCAAACTACCAAAGCGCTATGGGATGCTATTGGAATGCCGAATTGAAGTCGTATTCACCATTAGGCAGGGGTACAGGATGCGTGTGGTCTTCAACCATCTTATGGAGGCTGAATACTCTGGGTCAAACTGAAAACAATGTATTTTACTGGCCTGATTGCAAAGGCCACTACCATACAAGAGTTCCGGCACCGATTTTGGTGGCCTGTGGTGGAACTCAGCCCTGCTGCCTCGCAAGAGTTCTGAAGGATTCTAAGCATGGCGCTGTCTACAGCAACAGCTTGTGGTAGTCGGAGTTGCTCGGGACGGCACCCAGCCTTGAGGTCGGTCTATTAGTCTATGAGTGTCTGAGGCACACAGACACACAACACACTCGTTTCAAGTCAACAAGCCAAAAGCTTCTGCAAGGACTTGCGGTGCCCAAGAGAGCAAAGTCCACCGAGTTTCAATGCACAGCTGAGCTGGCGCACAATGCCTGCTGTGCCAGCAACCACCTGGCACTCAGCTGGGGCATTCACGTGGGCTCCCCACACAAGAAGGACCCCGCATCGCCTCGAACAGCTAGTGACTGCCAGTGGCAAGGGCAAATGCCCCAGTGCTGTCTTCGGGGGCGCGCAGTGGGCCCGGAGACACCTCCCTCAAAAATATGCCGGCGTAGACCCCAAACAGTGAAGGCCAGAAGAGCACCGACACTCCCGCGGACAAAAAGTACAAAAGTTCGTGGGGGGCCGAATTCCCTGGGGGTCAAAAAGACGCCAACCACTGGGGGATTCGGCTTTGCACGCGTGTGGAACTTGGGGTCAAAAAGGCCCGTGGCCAACCACTGGGGCCTGAAGAGGCCACAAGAGGCCTGAACGGAATTCGCGCGAAACCACAGCGAGAGCATCGAAACCCCGTCCCACCGCGCGCGCCGTTGCGGTCGGCAACCTAAGTGGCCCCCCCAGAAGAGGCCTCAAGAAGCCACGAGAGGCCGGAATTCGCGCGAAACCACAGCGGGAGCATCGAAATGCACAATTCGCGCGAAACCACAGCGGGAGCATCGAAACGCAACGGAATTCGCGCGAAACCACTGCGGAGCGTCGAAACCAAGGCCCCGTCTCACCGCGCGCGCCGTTGCGGTCAGCAACCTAAGTGGCCCCCCCCTGAAGAGGCCTGAAGAGGCTACGAGAGGCCGGAATTCGCGCGAAACCACAGGCGGAACATCGAAATGCAACGCAATTCGCGCGAAACCACAGCGGGAGCATCGAAACGCAACGGAATTCGCGCGAAACCACAGCGGGAGCGTCGAAACCAAGACCCCATCCCACCGCCGCGCGCGCCGTTGCGGTCAGCAACCAATTCCTTTACTCTGAACGTAAGAACCCCATTGTGCAAGCACTGTTTGGGGAAAAACCGAGCTGAGGGCCTCGACTGAGGAGTTGCTCCCAGCAATGCCGATCCTCAGTCCATCAATGTGATCTTGTCTTGAATCCGGTCAAGGTCCAGTCTGCGGATTTTCGATCTCCACCTTTTGCGGTGCATGCCGCAGTCTGCTGCGCACACCCCGCCAAGCGGAAAGGCCCCGTCCATGACAGGAACTGCGCAGGGGGACTGGGTGGCATCAGAGGTTGTGTCTCCATCTGAGCAGTGGGCAGGTTGCGGGCAGGCCTGTTTCATCCGGATTTGGAAACTTAATACTTGCTCCGGCAAAGCGAGGTGCTCCTGAAAATTTCTGAGGCCAGCCGCGGCAGCTCCCACACGTTTTCTCCGAGGGCAGCACTTCAGCACACGATGGTTTTCGGTGTCCGCAATGAAGAGTGCGTCACCTCAGTACTGCGCAAACCGCTGATAGCCGCTCAGAGTCAGGAAGCTGCTGTTCCCCAGATTGTTGCGTTCCGGGAACATCTTCAACTTTAGCATACTTTAGCTGAACTTTAGCTGAACTTCCTAAGTCTTTGAACCCGCCTATGGCCGATGCTGGGCGTCAGGCTCGAAGCGGCGATTCGCATCGGAGCCTTTGAAGATTTTGCGAAGCCCGCTCTTACCCAGTTGGCTAGTGTGAGGTCACAAGGTGCTGGCAGACGTCGTACGAATAATAACGCACCGGCGGCAGGTTGTAGCTATGCAGAATGATGCAGGATAGCAGCGGATGTGAAGTTAGGGGACACTTGAAGCTTGCAAGTGGACGAGTCGAGTCCCGCACTCTGAGGCGATCTACTGCATAGCCTCAACATGGCTTTTGTAATCGCTTCAGTTCTGAACTACTCGCAACGTCACGGAATCTGCAAACTACTCCTCTCGGCACAAGGACGTGGACACATCGCACTCGCTTCTCGAACAGCGAACTGTTGCCCGGAGGGCGAAATCATACACTAAATTCAAGTTTGTCTGGCCAGGAGCCCCTATGGGGCGAGAAGCTTTCTCTCGAACAAAAGTCTAACTGCACTACGGACCACGGCTTACAAGCCGGGACCCTACCGCCCTCGCAGCCCAGACCTAGAGGCTGCCCGGAAGACAGCACAGAGGAGAAAGGAACTTGGGAAAGCGGCTCGCCATAATAGCCTCTTCCCCATGCTCAGCACCCACGGCAGCCAACTTAAGGACAAGGCCATCCGACAGAGAATAAACCACTCTCCACCCCTCTTTTCCTATCATCGGAATTCTTCTGGGCCCAGAATCCACGTGGCGCAAGGGGTCAAAACGAATGTTTCAGGACGCTGGCAAGTGATCCCTACTGGCCGTGAATCAACTTGAGGCTGCCACTGCCCAAGAAGCACGTAAGGTCCTGAGAACAAGGGCTGTGCCTCCCAAGTTGCTTCAACCGAGAGTAGCGAAGTATTGGATAGTTGGGTCGTCAGCGTCAGTGCCTGCTTGCCTGGCCCGATCCCACCCGTCCTGTGGTTCACAACCGAGCAAGATGTCGCCCACAGCCTGACCAAGTGGAATTGACTTTGGCCAACACAAAGGACGGCTGGCAGGCTCGCTAAAGAAAAGCGCCTGGCCTGCGATGCTGTGGTGCAGCATGTGGCGAGGTCGAAAGACTGGGCCTCTGGCATTCTCTCCATGTTCTTGGAGGCTGTAAGCTAGAATAACACTACCTGCCGAGCGTGACTTACACTGCTGCGACGTGTACTGCTCCAGGAGTGCGCAACTTGAAATTTTACCACACGCATATGCCGGCTGTGAAGCCATGATCACTCATGTCTGGCAGGATCTTGGGTGCAAGTGCTGTGACTGTGGCCCTTTGGTTGCCATTCTCAGACACGTAGAGCTCACCTGAGCGCCACACAGAGTCTTCCCCTTGCACTAGGCCGGCATGTTGAGAGTCTTTTTCAGACGCTATCCATGGCAAGGAGGAGGCGCGGTGAAAGGAAGCCCAACAAAGTTCTCATTTTGGTATTCTTGATGCAGTGTTTCGCAGCTTCGCATTTTTTCCTCCTGCGTGCGTGTGTCGGCCAGGCCAGCACTCGCAGCGACGACACGGGCCTCGGATCAAAGTTCTCTCAAATTCATTGGGGTGTATGTGCGCGCAATGCAACCAGCATCTCAGACACGGGCACTGCGGTGGCTCCTCGATTCTCAAAAACAACAAAAACCCCGAAAACATCTACCCCCATCTACACTTTGCCCCCCAAGGCCACAGCAGTGCACCCTAAATCCTGAATTTACAAACCTGAAGGGGCTTGGAACACGTGGAACGCTCAACGTCTTAGCGGCTTCGACTGCGCACGCTGTTTGAATGCCATTGGAGCCACAGCAGAAGACCGTTTTCAACAAAGCCTCTCAACATGCGAAAGCCCTGGACAAAACCTGCTTTGCGAATGGTCTGACATGTGCTGGAACAAATACGTCTTTCTCTGGTCTGTGCACCGTGTAGTTCAGCTGGGCCCATGGGTGCAATATGTTGCAATCAGGACCAACATGTCTAGTCTACTTCTACCAAAGTCTATGCAAGTCCCATGCTCGGACACTGGCTCTGCAAGTCATCCCTGCACCCATTCTACCACACGCACGTCCCATCTGCAAGTCCTGGCAAGTGCGACGAGGTCCTTGAGCCAGGGCTTGCGACACCAGCTCTGCAGCTTGTTGGTGTCCGCCTTGTTAGCTTCGAGGGTGGCGGGCGAGCAATTGGATTTCTACAACGCAAGAGGAGCCGGGTGGAAGGGAAATGCTGGTGATTGGTTTTGAACTCACGTTGCCGCTGCTATTGTTGGCCACGTTTATATTATATATATACACATATATATCGGGATTGCACTACATTCCGTGGATGACTGGCAGGACCAAAGACTCAGCCGTAGTCGCATGAAGCACAGACACACACACACACACACACTGCAACATGGCTTAGCAGTTCCCATAACAAGCTGCCGAGGATCCGTGTGCTTCATCGACTAGTGCCTTGGCACATGCCACAATGCCCGCCCGCATAGTTTCAAAATGAACTTCACGAACTTTCACATGTCATGCACGATGAGAGAGGAACACTCATGATTTCCGAGTAATTTCCAGCAGACTCCCAGGCCCCAGCAGAGCTGAATGAAGCAAACACCATTTGTTGGATCAGGCACATGCCATAGAGCCGGCATGCCGCGCACTGTGCCATGACACCTCCAAGCAGGACTTCAGCGGTAAAACAGCTCGTGCGGCAAAAGAGAACAAACCGAAATTTCTAAGCTTGCTACATTCAATCCATCTTAGCAGGGAGGTTGACGAAGCAAGTACTATTCAAAGCCCAATGCTCTGCTAATCATCGCTCGGGCAGTATGTGGGCTGCGCTCGTTACGCTTCCAGCCTTCAAGACTGCAGCCTGATGGTGTAGAGCCTTCAGGTCTACAGGGTAAGGTTCCTTTTATGGAGTCAGAGTTTTGGGCTTGAACGAGTAAGAGATCACCCCTTGCGCCCCATTGCCCCCTAACCCCCTTGTCCCCCACCCCGAACAAGCAGCCAAAACCAGTCGATTGGTGCGTTAGCCAAAGCAACATGACATTACGAGGCCTCAGGTCAAGCTCAAGCTCTTCCTGCGCAGCCACAAACACAAAGCCATTGGTCATCCTCAAGGTGTGAGCCACAAGAGGTGTGCATCGATGTTTCGATCTGAGCAAGCACAAAACATCCCAAAGTTATGATTGACATTGCACAAAAAAAATGCGGCCCAAAGCTCGATGTCACGCCAGACGTTCGCAGCATCCGCTGGAAGCTTGCCCGAGCCGTCGCTGTGCCGACGAATCCTCTTTGACAGCAAAGATTCGACGGAATGATTGCTTCCACCCCAATTGCCAGCACCGCTGAGCATTGTTGAAGCAGGCATCAGGCTGCTTGTGCATGTCGGGATATGCCGGGTGCAGTGCCAAGCGGGTCAAAGCTTCTACGGTGCGCTGCATAACAAGCTCAAGGGTGGGCCCACAGACAATGGCATTGAAACAGCTGTAGTGTGTTGGAACACAGCATAGCATTTGCGCGTCCCGCGCTGGAACCAAGTCCTGGAATTAACTGTTGCTATGAGCTCAGCCTGCAGCATAGGCGGCAGGTGTCCAAACGTCGCCATGTAGCCTAGCAAGAGAAGCGGATCCAGCAAGTACGTGCAGAACCACTAAGACTAAAAGCAGCAAGAGCCTCTCGAAGATTGTAAGCGTCTTTCAAAGTTAGCAATCCTACAAGATTCGCCCTGGCCAGTGACTCTGTTACTCTTGCTGCTAAAAGGGCCCCTCCTCATGCTTTCCAAAAAAAGGTTCTAACGTGCAAGCGGTCGTCTCAAATATTCACCTTTCAGCTGCTTTTCCGCCCAGATCTAACCTGTAACAAATAGGAAAACTTGATCATCGGCTCCCTTCGGCATGATACAGCCAGGCATGCTTTGCTGGGGGCAGCACACATAAAACGAAGCGCCCAGCTTTGCAGGCACCTGCACTTTCGCTGGCGACAACGAGTTGTTGCAAATGGAGCATCCGCTTTGGTTTGCAGGGGGGGGAGCTTCATGGAGAGCTTCGCAGGAGACTTAACGTTGCTGCTCCTCTTCAGGGCTTGGGCTTTCAGGGTCCTTTTACAGCTCGCTATTCGCCCCTGCAATTATGTTATGACATGTCCTCACTCTTGCGCATGGGGACCAGGGTTCAACGAGACTGGGCAAAAGCTAAGGCTACGCAGGCCAGCTCAATCTGCGGCTGGCGCGCATGAAGCGTCTACCTACAACAACTACACGCCGTTCTTCAAGCCCTCACAAAATTGTTTTGGGTTTTGGGGGATTCGAAATTTAGAGTTGATGCCCAAACAGACTTCACTGGCCGCTGGACTCATTGTATGCGTGATCATGCCCAACAGCCAAACGCTGAAACTCGAAAGGCACCCTGCTGCGCCGACCTGACCCCGGTGAGTGCATGC